GGGGCATTTCCTCGACGCCACGGGGCTTGACAGCAGAGAGGGTACGTAGGTAACGTAGCAGCCTTGACACTTTCTGGAGTCTATATTTTGGGCAGTATGCACCGGTGCCTCAGGCGTGTATGCGGCAGAAGTATTCTCAGCAAGGTTAACTGTAGACACCTCGGCTCAAGCAGGCTCAAAGACAGCAGGCGCCCACAGGCATGCCCCCAAAATGTGCAGTGGCCGAATTGCCATCTCCGTGCACCATTCTCTTGAACCGGATGGTCGAGATGAGCGTCGACATTAGTCTGGCAGGGTTGTAAGAGTACATCGACAAGCATGACATGGACAGGTTCATCAAATCCGCGTTTGAAGCTTACGGCCGCCAGCTTCGAAATTGGTGGCCGGACACGCTTCACAAGAGGTATAGTGACTTGCCGCATCCAGGAACGAACGACGATGGCAGGAGGCAGTGCCTGGTGACGTTCCACATGGTTTGTGAAAACACGTGACATACAATAAGTATGCGGGGTTCCTCGGTAGCGTAATTTCCCTGCCGCGCCGCACCCGCGTCTCACACCTCCCCCCTCCCCTTCTCCTTCTCGCACCAGAGCGGGTGTGCAGGGGGGTGCTCAGCTCAGCTCAACTCAGCACATCACAGCGCAGCACAGCACGGCACAGCACAGCACGGCACAGCTCACCGCACAGCAGCACAGCACAGCACAGCACAGCATAGCACACAGGGCATTCCTTCGACGCCACAGGGGGGGCGCTGGGGGTGGGGGCCCTATGCGTTCTAGGCTCCCAGGGCGTCGAAGGCGTGGCATTTCCTGGGCGCCACAGGGGGTGCGCTGGGGGTGGGGGCCCACCGTGGTCTCTATACGCGCCAATGTCGCAGGGCCTAGCAGGAGTGGCATTTCCTCGACGCCACGGGGGGCGCGCTGGGGGTGGGGGCCCACCGCGGTCTCTATACGCGCCAATGTCGCAGGGCCTAGCAGGAGCGGCATTTCCTCGACGCCACAGCGTGTGCGCTGGGGGTGGGGGCCCACCGCGGTCTCTATACGCGCCAACGTCGCAGGGCCTAGCAGGGGTGGCATTTCCTCGACGCCACAAGGGGGTGCGCTGGGGATGGGGGCCCACCGCGGTCTCTATACGCGCCAACGTCGCAGGGCCTAGCAGGAGTGGCATTTCCTCGACGCCACAGGGGGTGCGCTGGGGGTGGGGGCCCACCGCGGTCTCTACACGCGCCAATGTCGCAGGGCCTTGCACGCGTGGCACTTTCTCGACACCTGAGGGGTACGCTGCAAGCTCCCAGGGCGTGGCAGGCGTGGCATTTCCTCGACGCCACAGGGGGTGCGCTGGGGGTGGGGGCCCTGGGCGGTGCAGGCTCCCAGGGCGTGGCAGGCGTGGCATTTCCTCGACGCCACAAGGGGGTGCGCTGGGGGTTGGGGCCCCATGCGTTGTAGGCTCTCCGGGCGTGGCAGGAGTTGCATTTCCTCGACGCCACAGGGGGTGCGCTGGGGGGGGGGGGGCCCTATGCGCTGCAGGCTCCCGGGGCGTGGCAGGCGTGGCCTGGGGGTGGGGGCCCTATGCGCTGCAGGACCCCAGGGCGCGGCAGGCGTGGCATGTCGTCGACGCCACAGGGGGTGCGCTGGGAGGTAGGAGGAGGAGGTACAGGAGGAGGAGGAGGAGGAGGAGGAGGAGGAGGAGGAGGAGGAGGAGGAGGAGGACGGGGAGGTGGGGCAGCAGCAGCGGCAGCAGCAGCAGCAGCTGCAGCAGCAGACGCAGCAGCAGCAGCAGAAGCAGCAGCAGCAGAAGCAGCAGCAGGAGGAGGACACCGAGGAGGAGAAGGAGGAGCAGCAGCAGAAGCACCGATGGTACACATGGGAAATAAAATAGGTATGTGGGGTTCCTCGGTAGCGTAGTGTGTGTGTATGTGTATGTGCATGCGCATGTGCATGTGCATGTGCATGTGCATGTGCATGTGCATGTGCATGTGCATGTGCATGTGCATGTGCATGTGCATGTGCATGTGCATGTGCATGTGCATGTGCATGTGCA